GCTCCCCCTGTAGCATGGTGTCTGATGGGACAGTGGCCATCTTCATCGGCATAATTATGTTCCTCATGCCCTCCGAGATCCCAGGGCTGACTCAGGACCCAGGTAAGTACATGGACTGGAGCAGGAAAAAGCCTTCCAGGCAGCCCCTGTTTTCCGGCGTGAAATGTACCTTCGACTACGCTTGGCAGGAGTAGACAAAGCGCTGAGAGGTTAGGGTGACTTGCCAAGGACACAAAGACTCACGAAGTTGGGATGTTGCAGAACTGGGGGTCCCCCTCTTGCACACATTAAGCTCTGATAGAAACCCATACAAGAGGCCCCAAGTGGAAGGGAGGGAAGGCCTCGGTGACACATCTTCCTCTGCCTGGGGAATAGAAAGACCAGGAAAGCTGAAGGGCCCTCCTACTCTTCTCAACTGGAAGACAGTGAACGAGAAGATGCCCTGGAATATCGTGTTCCTGCTGGGTGGTGGCTTTGCCCTGGCCGAGGGCTGTGAGGTGAGAGACCCCTACCCCTTCCCCAGTCTGTTTGAGGGAGATCCCGTGGCAGGGAGAGAGGGGCCCTGCTTCCGTGCCACACACGGAAGACCTGATATACACTTAGGTGCCTGCTGTGGCAGGGCCTTTGCAGCAGCTGGAGAAAGAGGTTAGATCGTCTGAGGGAGGAGGAAGAAACACAAGCCATAGAGATCTTTCCCCAGTTGGGTTCTCAAAGCCAAAGAGAAGGCAGGCTTCTCTGGTGAACAGGGACTATTCTCAGTGACCACCCACCCACCCCACTCCACCCCTTCACCCCTTCCAGAGAACGCAATGTCTTTAGCACCTGAAAGTAGGAGGTATTGGGTTGACACAGTCAGCCTGCTGCAGCCACCAGGAGGCGCCATAATCACATCCAGCCAGGCTCTGGGGGACCAGGGCATCATTCCAAAAGCCTCCATCCAAGAGAGAAATCCCTGAACCCACACCCCTGGGCTTCATTGTTCCAGCTGAGCTCATTCACTGAGCAGATAGGAGGCAGCTTCCCTGGGTTAGGCAGGGACTCCTGGGTCCGAGGTTAATTCATCCATCGAGCATTCATCAACTATACCAAACACTGTTCTGGGTGCTGAGTGGGTGATATTATAAAATAAATAATTTCCCGGGACTCACAATCTAGCATTACAGATGTGGGCAGGGCAAGACCTTGGAGCTCGTCTGACCCCATAGACTGTCCCCACCCTCCCGTCAGCTTCTTCCCAGCTTCCACCAGGGCCCTTCCCTGCTCTCCTTCTGGGACTGTTGTAAGACCTCCTGGGCTGGAGCGGGCAGGGAAGGGGCTAAGGTTGGCTAAGGACCTCCTGAGAGAGGTCGGGAGGACTGCAGTAAATGGGGTCAAAGTCCTTACTCCTATCAAGCCCCAGAGGGGTTTCCCAAGAAAATCCTTCGGCCCCCTCTCCTAACTTCTCATCTGACCCTTCTCCCCACACCCAACTGTTCTTGAAGAGCAGGTGAGGGGGCCCTTTGATTCTACCTGGGTCTTATCTTCCCTCCCAAGCTGCCCTTGACTCTGAAGACTAGACATTTGTGGACAGAAACAGAACCTTTCCAGAGCCTCAGCATGAGATTCTAAGACTCCAGGCAGTCCAGCCTCTCACATACCACCTTCCTCTGCCCACAGGCATCGGGCCTGTCATATTGGCTGGGGAGCAAGCTGACCCCACTGAAGTCCGTGTCACCTTCCACCATTGTTTTTATCCTCTGCATCACGGTTGCTGCCTTCACTGAGTGCACCAGCAACGTGGCTACCGCTTCACTCTTCCTGCCCATCCTAGCCTCCATGGTGAGTGAGCTGGCCCTGAAGACACACCTCCCCCAGGCAGCCCCCCTGCCCACCCCCACCCAGGAGCCCTGCCTGTGGGTCAGAGTGACATGTCTGCACCTCCTTTCATTTCGGAGAGAGGACCTCTGGGCTTCCACCCTTCCCCTGATTTTCCAGCTAGTTGGGCACAAAGGCCCTCTGGACCCTGACTCGCCCCATCCTTGGTGATGTCACTCCTTCAGTATCCTGATGGGGCTCACCGGTGGCCTCACCTACTTCCCCTGTTCTGGTCATTCCTGAGGTGATGGGGTAAAATTGCTCCCTGAAGCGTCTCCAGCCCCCTCCTCCCCAGGCGTGTTCCCGCAGCCTTTGATGACACTCCGAGCCCCTTTGAGATCTGTTTTATGGGCCCCTCTCCTCACCACACCCCACACACTCATCCCTTCCAGAGAGGTCAAGGGGCCTGTCCCAGGTCACCAGTGCCTTCTGGCAGAAGTGTTGAGTTCATAGCCAGAGTGTGTGTTGTGGGAGCAGGGGGATTATCCCTCGGAGAGGGGAAGCAGGAGAATTGGGGCCACACCTTCCCCTCTGGGATGGGGACTGCCATCATCTCTGCCCACCGTCTCCCCCTCCAGGCCCAGGCCATCTGCCTCCACCCTCTCTATGTCATGCTCCCCTGCACTCTGTCTGCCTCCTTGGCCTTCATGCTGCCTGTGGCCACCCCACCCAATGCCATCGGCTTCTCTTTCGGAGGTCTCAGAGTGGCTGATATGGTGAGTGGCAGAGGTCTTGCATATCTCATCACTCCTTCCTGCTATGTCCTTCCATCTTAGTGGACCACAATGTTGCTTAAAGCCACGTCGATTCTCAGATTTGAGACTAGAACCTGTCTGGAGCGAGGGACAGTAGGAATATTGGGACATGACCCCTAGTCGGAGCATCTGCAGGACCTGTCACACCTGGGTCATATGAGAGGAAGAGGAGGGGGTGAGGAACTTAGGGAAGTTTACAAGGTGCCAGGCAGCCACACCCAGGGAGATGGACTCAGAGAGAACAAGGCACAGGGCCCTGGAAGCTCATGAGGAGCTTCCCCTTTCCTTAGCATTGGGAAAAAAGCAAGAGGCAAGGGCATTGCTTAGTGCTGCAGGTTGGACCCAAGGGAGGACTTCCCAAGGGAGAGTTTTGCTAGCAAGAGAGCTCCTGAGCGCCTATGAACACTGAAGGGATGGGTGCTGGCCCAGCTCAGCAGCTGCTTATTCACACTGGTTCTCTGCATACTAGGCCCGGGCGGGATTCATGCTCAACATCATCGGTGTGCTGGTCATCATGCTGGCTATCAACAGCTGGGGCATCCCCATCTTCAACCTGCACACCTTCCCCTCCTGGGCCTACACCAACTCTTCAACCCACTGCCTGGCCAGCCAGCCAAATACCACCCTGTCTAATCTTTAGACCAGGGTATAATCTGCCCAATCTGGTCCCACTCCTCTGAGTGGGAAGGGGACACCCAGGGTCCAAGCCAAACATTAAGAGAAGTATATATGTGTGTATAACCTCCTGTATGTCTGTGAGAAAGGTGTGCATGTGTTCAACCCTGTGTGTCTAAAGAAAATGTGTATGTATGTATGCACGTGTGCATGTGAGGTTGGTGTGTCATGTGAGGATGTCTGAGATGCGGGATTTGTGTGTGTGCACATGATCCTAGGTGTGTTTGCTTAACAGTACATGTGAATTCACAGACACTATTACATGCCCTCTCTGGCACCCCAGATCTTAGTCTTCCCAGCTTGGTGGGTAATCAGATCCTTTTGCACTCTATTTATTGAAACTTAGGGTTAGGTTAACCTGGGGAGCAGAGCCTACCAGCGGTTGCCATGGCAACAATTCTGGGACCAGTCCAGCACACTGAGCTCTCCCCAGCCTCTCGGGTTTCGGGGGAGGGTTTGAATACTAATCACATTAAAGTCTTCTTCAATAGAGTCTGGGATGGTTTTTCACAGCACTTTACAGGGCTGGTCCACCACATGGTCCAGGCCCCAGGTTGGGGAGTACAGTGGGAAGAAGGGACCTGGCCTCTGTCCTGTATGGCAGCCCCCTCGGTATCCCTCCCACCCAAGGGAGAAGGTAATGGCCAGGAACGCCTGCCAAGGCCAATCAGAGTGGGCGCAGCCACCCAGGAAAGCAGCACTGACATCACCCAGCCTGGCTAATTGGGAGCTGCCAGTCCCTGCGTGTCTTTGGGAAAACCGGCCTCTTCGTTCCCAGAGCACTCCCAGGGCATTTACATAAAAACCTCTGCCCCTGCCAATTCCTCACCGACCCTTCCTCCAGCTGGAAAAACCAGTCCCACCAGACCAGGAAAGGCAGGCTGACCCATGCTAAGTGCCCAGAAAAATGGACCCTCACCCAAAATGGCAGCCTGCAGCAAGGATACAGGTGAAACTCATAGAAACAGGTTCAAAACTGGCCTGTTCTTCAGAGTCCAGGACCAGACAACACTCTGGATCATTCTGCTTCCCCACCTCACCTCCACCCCTCCCTTGCCTCCTGCCTTCATGAACTCCAGAGTATTTATGTATCCGGCAAGGTGGGGTGGGATGTGGAAGGGTAATACCACACCCGTCATCCATTCTGGGAGCTCATTATCGCTTTCTGGCTGGAAGTTCATCTTTGTATCACTCCTAAGTTTCTCTCATTGTGGACAGCGGCATGTAAGCTTTGAGTTCATCTAGGTGGAAGTTCCCAAGAGTCTTATCCAGTTACCTCCTGTGTAGTGGGAGGAAAAAAAAAGAGATTTATCATCACTTTCATGCCCAATAAAAAAGAGAGCTGAATTGTGAAGAAAGAAAACCAGAAAAGGTTTAATTCTGGATTCCTCCTGGGCTGGGCCTTCATCCAGTATTCCTAGAGCTGGGGGTTCGAGAGTGGGGGGAGACACAGACAGGAGGGGGCTGCTGCATGGGGGAGAACATGGCTGTCCTCAGGGGACAGGGGATCTTGACAGGACATGCCAGACATCTAGCAGAGTGAGTGTCAGGCGAGTGACTCCACCACCCCCACTCCAGCCCCCTAGGCTGGCATTCCTCATTTATGAAGCATAGTCGTAAATCACAGCTCCCACCCAGGCCCACACTAGGACCCCCACAATACCTCTGGCAACAGCCCCCCATTGGGAGTGGGCCAACCCTAGAATGATGGGATCCCTCCAGTGCCATACCCATATTGCAATGGGTTCCTAAGGAGCAGCCCCAGACCCATCTGCAAGGAGGACCCTCTGCTATCACTTTTTTCTGGACCCTGGTTGGGTACCCACAGTCCAGCCCTGGCTAAGGAAGAGGTGAGTGTGCTTCTCAGGGGGCACATGGCCCGTCCACTGTTCTCAGCTCGCCTTCGTACCTCTCTACTTCCCTATCAGTCTTGCTCAGAGAGGGCCAGATGTGGACTAAGGTCACAGAGCAGTCCCAGGGTTGAAGACTGGGCTGGCTCTGTCTTCTTGGGGGAGGAGGTAGACAAAAGCTGGCCTGAGGGTTGAGGGGGTCATCCATGGTGGTTGCTCTGGCAGAGCTTGGGGGGCAGTCTGCCCCCAGGTGTTTGGAAACCATCCTCCTCAGGAGGCAGGAGGGCGGACAGGAGGCAGGCGGCACCTGTCAGCCTAATCACCGTCATTAGCCGGGCAATAAAGCAGCACGGACTAGGCCAGACTTTGAAGGAAGGGCCTGTCAGCCCATGTCAGGTTTGTGCAGGCAGCCTCGCAACTTAGCCCCTCCTGCACACACATTCTGGGCTGTGGCAGGTGGATGGGGCACTGCTGGGACTGGGATCTGTACCCTCCCACCCTGAGCACCCGCACTGCTACACCGATGGCTTCCAGGAAGGTAGCAAGAGGCTTTGGGTGTCTCCTACTAGCTGAATTCATGCACTCAAGAACTGCTATGGTAATGAGCTCCCCATTGCTCAGGAGATCAATGAGGCCAGAAACAACTTGAGGACAGTCTACCTGATACAGCTGTGTCCTCAGTTTCTAGCACAGGGCCTGGCACAGTGACTATTGTATGAATGAATGTATCAGAAGCATACGGGGCCTCTTGCCCTCAAAGCCTCTTTCCAGACTGCGGTGTGTGGAGTGCTGTGTGACCTTGAGACAATATCTTGGCCTCTCTGGGCCAATGTCACCTTAGATTCAGCACAGGCCCAGATTTCTGAGCCAACTTCTATTGTTTTCCCCTGCTCTTGTCCCTAGGACCCTGGAAGTGTCCCTCTTTACCTCACCTTCTCCTGATAGCTAGCACCAGCCCCAGAGACAACTATGGCAGCAAAAGGGCCCAGAGAGCTATCGAGCCAAGTTTTTCAAGGAGAAACCTCTCAGGGTGGAAAAAGGGCCCTTGTTAGGGAGATGAGGAAGATGGCAGCAGAGCTATTGATCCTATTCCCTGGGTTCACCTTGATTTAGGCCTTAGGTCAAGGGCAACTCTAGGGGTTAGGGTGCTCAACTCCAAAGTAGGCTCCTTGGGGGCTCAAGACATGACTTCCCTGTCTCCCCAAAGTCTCAGAGGGGAGGCCGTTTCTTAAAGAAAGAGGGGTGAGCTGTACAGAGGGAGGGCAGTGCAGCCAGAGGGTACAGGGTGAGAGGTGGAGTAGGACTGGAATGGGTGAGATTCTGGTGAGAGTCAGCCTGAAGAGGGTGCCCCCTGCAGCCTCCACCCCAATCTGCACCCCAGTAGTCATGATAGGCAGAGCCATGAAGTTTTACTAGGGACAGGGAGTCTGAGGGCCTCTAAAATGGTGAGCCCTCAACCTCAGGGAAGGAAAGGGGCACAGGAGGGGTATGAAGTTGGGGAGAGGGATAGAGCAGCCTGACCAGAAAGATTATAACAGAGATTCAGATTTGCTCTTAAGGGTGGGAGACTGATGTTGGGGAAAGGGATAGAGCAGCCTGACCAGAAAGATTACAACAGAGATTCAGATTTGCTCTTAAGGGTGGGAGACCCACAGACACATATATATAGAGCTACGGATTCTTGGGTACACATAGAACAACTCACAGACACAAACACAGACATGGATACCTGCATACACAGTTACACACACACAGACACTCGTGTGTGCTAAGTTACTCACAGGCACTCGCAGCCCTTCAGACACCCAGAGTCATTTACAGACACAAACACAGAGTCACAGACTTGTACACACACAGTTGCTCAGACATTCATGTAAACATGGATGCCCATGCACACAGTGTCAGACATGAGTGTTCTCACATGTACACCAATGCGCACATGCACTGAGATACAGTTTCTGGCATGGACACACCCAACGTCAGGTTATAGCACTATAGACTTAAATGCACATCCGTGGTGACACGTGTGAACATGTGAACAGAAATGTAAATTCTCACTCACACTCATGCACAGTGAACACCCACACACCCTGGCATTGCTCCTTTCCACCTGCATAACTGTGTCTCCCAGTAGCAGGAGGGATTAGGACAAGACAGGAGAAGCCTGCTCTCCCCACCCAGCAGGACTCAAGCTATGTCCCTCCCCACTGGACGCCCCCCCTCCCCCCCAAGCTCTCGGCTTGGAAATTCCCTGAATTTCCAAGAGGGCCAGCCAACCAGAACAGGCTCAGACCTCCCAACCCAGTAGCCCCGCCACACACCCTCCACAGCTCTAGCCAGTGCTCCTCCATCATCCACGGCCAAGGAGCTGCCTGTTCTGTTCCCCAGAAGCCCATCCTGATTCATCCCAGATCTCTCCAACCCTCCTTTGAGATGGGGTCCTCAGGCCTCAGGGCCTCAGGGAAGCTATGCTCAGGCCCAGTTTCTCTGCAGATGTTCTTAAATGTCTTCCATACTGATGGAGTGAGACTTGGGAGGCCTGGGAAGTGGCAGGCCAATTCACTTTGGGATGACAAATCTAGCCCACATTGAGCAGAAGTGGACAAAAATGGACAGTCTTAATGTGGGGTCCCTCCACCAGCGCACTGGGGCTCCTAAGGGTGTAAACATGCTCTTCCTTCTCTCTAGAGTGACCAGAATCTTGCCTTGGACTGGAGCATTATGGACATTGGCCTCAGGGATTTCCACCCCTAGTCAGGGCTGCTACTGGCTCAAAGCAGCCCAGCCCTGGGCAGAGCGCAGCAGTAGACATCGAACCGGTTCTGACCTCCAGTCTCCAGAAAAACAGAGATTCCTCTGGCCCCAGTCTATTTAACTAGCCTCAGCGACAGCCCATCCAGGCCATAGTCCAGTTCAGCTATAGCTGCGGGCCCTGAAATTAGGATGCTGGAGAGTGTGGGACCAAACCTCCAGATAGAAGTCCTTTCCAAGGGGAGCAGAGCCAACATTGCAGCAGCTAGAGTTGAAGCTAGATGCCAGGACAGACTTTCTGGGTCTAGGAGAGAATTCTGAGGGGCTGGTGTAATGAGAGAAGATCGTTCTCTCCGGCGGCAGA